TGAGCTTTCAGTAACGAACAAACCCTCACCTATGGCCTCAACCAGCAACAAAATCACTTTGCTCCGATCGACAAAATATTCCATGAAAGATGACACAATAGAAGTAGAGCCCTGCATATCATAAGTGCATTTAAGATAACAGATTAATGCAATGTTATAAGTCACCTCGTCTAACAAGTGGAACATGGAATAAAACATGATAAATTATGTTTTCTACAGGACATATTATCAGCTCTTTATATTACATCCCTGACATTTATTGCAATGTTTAGAATCTCAAAACCTCAGGTGTAAGTAAACAATATTACATCCATGAAACCAAATCTTGAAGTCGATTAAGATTAGAAGACAACCAAGTAAACATGAGAAGAGAAAATCAAGTACCTTGATGAAACAAAGGATTGATCCTGTTAAAGACCCAAAAACAGCCAGGAGAGTCATAAACCGACGTCGATAAACGACCTGTAAAATTACATCAAAAAAATGGAGATAAGTCCAAGAAACCATATCTTATCTAAAGAATCATATATATAAAATCAGACCTTCTCTATACGCTCTTCTGTAGCTTCCAAGCAACTGGACGAGGTCTGGGTGTCCAAATGGGAATTGGCTGCAACAAAGGCCACTGATGGGATTCGCGTTGGATGAAGAGATGTTCCGGTGAGTGGGAATTTAGCGGCGGCACAAGGAGGGTGAAGTACAGAAACCCTTTTGAAATTCGGTGCCAAATCGTGAGAATTGAGGCCGAATTGCATCGACGGCGCGGTGGTTCTGAGGGGTCTGGGGGTGAAATGTAGAGGAGTTGGTGATTTCATCTTCATGGTTTGGGTGGCATCAAGAGTGAGCGAAGAAGAAGGATGGAAGGAAGTGAAGCGATTGGACTGGAGCTGGACAATTTGCATCCAACTTCGAAAGAAAGATGGAAGCATTGGAGCCCCACACAATCAGCCATGTACAGATGCATTGTACACTTTTAAGTTCCGCCGAACCTCTTGAGTCAGTCAAGTGGTGACAGGTGACTGAAAGAATAAATATTAAATAACTCTGATTAATATTTTTAAGAAAAAAAACTAAACTAATAACTTTTCATTTGAATCGTGAACTTGATGCGATATATAGGATGTGATGTGATGATGACAGGACTGCTTAGCACGTGGCATGAGGCATGTATATATAAACAATTTACTTATCATGATTAGGAGTAATATTGGTCACGCAAAATGACAGACACAAAAGATCTTTTATTCGCTCTATATTTTTATTCTTATTCCTATTCCAAGTGAGTGATAGCTGACATTCCATAACATAATTTGCTTGTCCTTTTCAACTCTTATTTTCGGTTGTGGGATGTTAGTCTAGCTAATAAATGATCACCTGATATAGTTTTAATATATGATTACAAAAATATATTATTAATTTTATTATTATTTAAATAATAAAATTGGTAAAAAATAATCGGAAACATTATTAGGCGTTATTGATTTTGTTATTATTAGGTGTTTTAATCGGATTTCGAAAAAATGATCAGAAATATTATTAGGTGCTAAAAATGATCGAAAATATTATTAGACGTTACTGATTTTATTATTCTTGGACACTTTTACCGAAAATATTAAAAAAACGATGTTTTAGATAAAAATAATAATTTTTAAATAATTTTTATCAGCTTTATTATTTAAACAATAATAAAATCGATAACGTTTTATTTTAACTTTATATTAAAATATCACACTGTAAAATTTCCCATGTTATACTCAACCTTATTTTGTCGTTAAGAAATTTAGAAAAAGACAAATTTGTATAATTTTATATTAAATTTACCTTTTCCTAAAATTTCCCTATTTTGTCCACATCATTCTTGTTTGTCACAATTTACTTATTCTTTTCTTTGGTTAAATATTCAGATTCAGCGTTACAAAACAGTTAAATAAGAGTTAAAACTTTTTTATGGTGATTAAGTAAAAACTTGATCGGATAAACAAGAAACAAGGCTGTAGATGGTGAGACAAGTCTGTAAATTTGTGGATTCTGAAGAAGAAAACGGATTTTAAGTAGAATTATGATTATGATCTTTTAGATCCCTTTCAAAAGTTGATGGGTCTTTTACGCTGTCTTCTATGGAGCACTATAATATTCATTCTAAATGAAAAAAATAATTATCTTAACACCTTATGTAAGAAAATTATTTTTTCAAAACAATATCTAACCAAATTTACTACATAAAGTATTATAGTCCTCTATATTCAGGAGTGATGCAATATTCAGGAACAGAGTCAGAAATCCAAAACAAATCACTCAGTACAGTGTTAAACTTGCTGAAGAAATCAAGATAGCCACAAAAACAATGTACATTAAAGTTACCAGAGAACCCTTTTGGGTTAAGTGGATGAAGCCTCCTGAAGGGATGTGGATCTTGAATACGGACGGCGCACAATACGTCCACCGGAATTGCAGCGGCGGGAGGTTTAATCCGCGTCGAAAATGGGGAATGGAAAGGGGGCTCTATGCTCCAGATTGGAACCACAAGTAGATCAACTGTCGAAGTCTAGGGAGTTCGTCAAGGGTTCATTCTTACAAAATCCTTGGGAGCAAGGAGACTCATCGTTGAAATGGATGCTAAGTGGATCGTGGAGGCTCTACGAAACGAAAAAGGGGAAGACACTCAGGAGGAAGTCCTTAATTACTAGATATAACATTAGATTTGGTGAACAAAATTTCAATAAAAATGTAAAGGCTATTTACGTATTGCTTCCGAAGCTTTTCAAGGTTAAAATATTATGTTACAACTACAACCACAAGAAGTGGAAGTTTACATCAGTGGATTATCAATTTAGGTTGTAATTCAAACATCAAACGACCCCTGCCGCCGAAAACGATATTGCCAACGGGTTCCGGGGATGAGTTTAAGGCCATCAAAAAGGTGGTCGACTCTTCGAGGAACTTCTAGGCTGCGGATAGGTGTGCCTCGTTTTCTTCATCGTTGTTTCAGAGAACTTAAAATCTCTTCGAAATTGGAATGTCGCCATCAGTCGACCCCCAACCTCAATGCCCTCAAATCCAAAACTCTCATCCGGTTGGGGACGACATACACCTTTCTAGCTGTGATGTGCTGCCATCGTATGCACCATCATCAGCTTGGCGGTAATCATCGCAGGCATCGTTACCCTTATAGGCTACTTAGTCATACATCCGAGGGTGCCTTATGTTAGCGTAATAGACGCTCACCTCGATCTCTTACGGGTTGATTACGTTAGCTGTGATTTCTTTTTTTCTAAAAAATTCTTTGTTGAAGAGAGTTACATACGCAGATTCTACTTCCTCACTTCAAATGTACAAAATATGAAAGATTCTATTGATATGAGGAGCAACGTCTATTTTCAGGATTATACAATCTTATTTTCTAACAAAGGGCACACGCCAGCTTCTCAGATTCGAATTACACTCTTAGCTTGAACGGGGCAGACATGGCTCGGTTGGTTGCATCGCCGTCCCTGGGGCCGTACTTCCAATGTCAAATAATTTCATTTTTTCTTCTTGTACAAGTCAATTTGGGTTAACTAATAATGTGGTTGCAGCTGGCCATAGTTACATGATGCAGTTGCTGACACGCTTGGCAAAGGCAAACTTGTTCTATATATTTTCTTGATTAATTTAAGATAGATTACCGGTGGCTGTTTTAAAGAATTTTAATAATTTGAAAATAAATATTCAAATACACTGTAGTCGTTAGTGTTCGAATCCCAGACCTGTACGATCACTTGTTTATACAACTTGTTTGGTTTTTAATTAGTTAAAACTAATTTTTTTAAGTAAATCCTAACCTCTCTGTATAGAAATATCCTTAGGAGTTGAATTAAAGAGATAAGACTCAACCAACAACCAGTTGATATAGTGAGATGAGACACTAGATTCCTTAAGCAAAATCAGGAGTTCGAATCCTGGCGTTTGCGAATGGAGCAAATTGGGTTGGGAGGGTCGCCTTTGTCTCTGTAGTTTCCGATCTAAATTAGCCGGTCAATAGATCGGATACCAGTGATTAATTAAAAAAAGATAAGACTCAAAATTATAACATTTGAGTTTGCCACTTCCTTTGTAAATAGCTTCTCTCATCCATCCATGATAGTCAATATCTTTAAAATTAGGTTGATGTAAATTTTACTACTTAATCTTATTATTTGAGTGTAATGATATTTATTTATTTTAATTAAATGCCTGATTTTCTTCTTAATATCGTAATTTAGTTATTTATTGATATTATTTTTGAGTAAATTCTATCTCTTTTAAATTATGATAAAAAAATTAAAATATTATTACTTTAGTGTAAGATTAATTTTGTTGAGAATATGTTTAAAGAATAACGATAAATTATATTGATAAGAGATATCAAAGACTTTTTCGATAGATATATTTTGTTAATACTTTGTGTATATTTTTAAAATTTTATCTTTTTAGTAATTTATAATTTTATATTTTTAATATCTTTTAAATTTTTAATTTCTATTTAAAAGTTTAATAGTATTTTTTATTTTTAATAATTTTAATAATTGTTTATTTTTATATAGTTATATTTTAAATATTTTTATTTAAAAGTTAAATAGACTTTTATTTTAAAAAAATAAAATTTTCTTTTATTTTTAAAAATTAATCAATTTTCTCTTTCATATAATTATTATTATTTTATTAAGCAAACATAATTACAAAATAGTACTTGTTCTGAATAAGATACTCTTATTCATTTGATAATGAAAGTTCAATCACCATAAATTATCACATCACTATTATAATCGATGAAAGAATAATATCAATTACATAAAAACTTAATTAATTTTCTAAAAAATGTCACTCCCTCAAACCTAAAAATAAGTAAATATGAAATTCTAATACATTTAAAACAACAATTAAACGATGATAACAAAATTGATAAAACGGGAAGAGAAGTGCTCATTATTAATATACCACAGACATAGAGACAGCTTAGTATAGTCATAGAGATGAAAATGACAATTTAAGGAGAAAATGTATTGTCATTAAGTTCAAATTTTTAAAACTCTTATTCAAGCCGCGACTGCATCGTCCAGATCTGATCTGAAATCGGAAACACCATCAGTAAGTGGTGTATCTCATTTGACCTGAGCTTGTAATTTGCGTGGAATACTTTTTTTCCAAGCAAAATCATGAAGATGGCAATGACGTAAATTTAGGCTATAATTTTTCCCATTTCCTTTTTGTTTGTTTGTGATTTAGGTTGAAGATGGGATCCGGTGGGAGCAAGGGTTCTTGTAAAGGAGGAGCTTCCTCGTCCAGAAGATCTATTGGGAAGAACCGGGTTTTCCAATCCTCTTGCCTTGGGCCGCCTTCTGGATCTGCTGAATCCCGTAATAAAGACTGCGGTTCTAGTTTCACCAACCGGAACCGGAGAGAACCAGAATCTGAGCCGGATCAGGTCAAAAGGGAATGTTCTAGGAAGGTTAAAGGGGAAACGGCATCTGATTACGAAATGCCGCTGCCATGCATGTCTTCCAGTGGTGGTAGCAGCTCTGGCAGAGCCACCACCGCAACAGTGCATCACTCTCCTTCTCGTTGCCTCTCCGGCTTTAGCTTCCTTCCGGGTAATGTTAGCTTCAGATTAAGCAGAGCTAATAGTTTGGGTTCGTCTAGGGCATATCCTTCAAGTCTTGCAATATTGAACCCTGATGACAACTCCGAGACATTTGAAGAACGTCCTCAACAACTTCGCCAGGATAATTCTTCTGTAAATTTATGTTCTCCCGTAATCTTCAATGATGCAGACACAAATAGGGATAGGCGTGTTGGAGTTGGAAGTCGAGAACCTGTTGAAGGGAATGTACGTTTTAGCAGAACATTGAGTGTTGGAAGGCTTCGTGACCGTGTTCTTCGTAGAGCTTCCTTATCAGATTTCACATTCTGCCCTTTACAGCAAAACATCAATCAAACTCACGCATATGCAGCGGACATAGAGTCACGGCAATCAGCTAACTCTCCTTCCACATCCACATCTACATCCACCGCCCCCGCTATACCCAGTAATCCCGTTTTTAACATTCAGGACCATGAAGTTGAAAATTCACGATCTAGAGAAGCTAGGTATCACGATTTACTCGAGCACAGATCCAATTTCCTTGAAAGGAGGAGAAGAATAAGATCTCAGGTTTGTAATATTCGAATTTAATATCTGATGATTACTGAATTATGCAGATAGCATCTCATCAACCTCTGTTGAACTGCACATTCTTCATTAACATTTCGAATACAACAGTTGCTTTGGCTGACAATGTTTCCTAGTGCTTTATTTGTACCTCATTGTGTCTGCTCCTTCTTTAGGTTTTGCCTTCATTCCACTGCCATAAGTTGATTGAATATTTTTCCTCAGTGAAAGGTGATGCTTATTTTTATCTGTTTCCTTTAGTTACTGACTTATGTGACTGATTTAGGTTCGAGCTCTTCAACGGCTGGGAAGCCGTTTTGAGAACTTCTCTGGACATGAAAGGTCTTGTATATTATCTGGTCAACATCGAACTGGTCGATGCACTTGCCGTGTTAATAATCGAGATTCCAATTCAAATGATGAGACAAGTGCTAGGGCTAGTATATCTAGAATTGTTATGTTAGCTGAAGCTTTATTTGAGGTGATTTTAATTTGTTATGTTATTATTGCATTCTCTGGGTGGATTGACCATCTATCGCTTGCACCTATCTCTTGGAGTTAAATTTCTATGCATTTTAACTAGGTTCTGGATGAAATTCACCAGCAATCGGTGGTTTTATCATCACGACCTTCTGTATCTTCAATTGGATCTGTTCCTGCACCTAATGAAGTTGTGGAATCACTTCCTGTCAAAGTATTCAACAAGTCACACAAACTTCATAATGATGAAGCTGGGCAGTAAGTATTCATTTTCCTCTGATATTTGAAAAATGTGAAGCACACTTGAAAAATTGTCTCCGAGAGGTAGTTGAAGATTAGATTTAACTGCATATGCCTTGACTTTAAATGGATCTGCAATGAATGAATATGTGGTTGACATTTTAGCTCAGAATAAGGTACAAATGTGTATCATGAGCTTAGATGTAACGTAATCGATTGTAGGAAGAAGTGAAAGCTTTTTAAACTACAGTATGTTTGTAGACTGATGATGAGTCTTCTTGACCTATATCATAACTATTATTAAGCTAATGACAATATGAGACTCAACTAATAAGGTAGCTGAAATTTTCTTTGTTTGGGATTATTTAAAACAGAATGGCTTGAAATCAATATTCAATCAGCTAATTTATTCAATCAGATAATTTCTTTTTAAACTAATAAGGTAGCTGAAAATGAAGTTTGGGCTCTTTATGGACGTTAACTGTTAAAGCATTCTTCCAAATTATAGTCACTAGTAGGCTCAAGAAGGTTGGTTTCAAACAATCAAGTAGGTATTGTCTGCCTGCATTGAGATATAAAGTGGGGGGATATGTGGTTCCTAAGGGTCCTAACCCTTCAGTATGCTTTCTTTTTCAGTAACCTCATATGGCATTAGTCTGCAATGAGGCATCTTTTGGGTCTTAATATTGTCTTTTATATTCCATTAACAGATGTTACATATGCCTTGTGGAGTATGAGGAGGGGGATAGCATGCGGATATTGCCTTGTAATCATGAATTCCACAGAACTTGTGTAGACAAGTGGCTCAAGGAGATTCACAGGTATAAGATTGACAACTATTATTGCAATTCATTTTTAAGTTAACGGCTTAACGCTGTGGTAAATGTATGATTAAGGGTGTACTAGATAAAATAGGCTTGCCATTTCTTCCCCTGAAGTAGGACATGGGTTGCGATGCATGCCACATGTTACGTTGTCAAGTAAGAATAATGAAGCAAAACAGAAAGAAGTCATATGATACTTGAAAAACTGTCAATATTCCCCTCTGAAAATTTTGTAGAAATGCATTTTTTATGTTATGTGGTGAATGGTGATACAACATATATAAAACTGCCAAAGGGTGATTCTGGAAGACTTATAGCTTGTTGGTCTTAAGAGCATTTGGAATTGCATGCTGTAATCTTTCCTTCTCATCAATCTACCTCTTGTTTTCCTTCCATGTGATTCCCCTAGGAAATGATCTGTCAAATGCTACCTATCAAAGTTTTGTTGCTCCTTTAAAATACCGTGAAGGATGTCTTATACTTGCTGCCTAACCTCGTGGTAAAATGTGTGGAGAAATAGATTCCTTCTTTCCATTAACATAACTTATGATATATCCACCGTCTTTTAATTATTTTTGGCTAGATAGAGCCCTGCCTGATTTTTACTATCGACACTTTCATCGTGTAAACTTAGTAAGGATTGCAATAAAAATATAAAATCTTGGAAATTTCTTTTATGAGGTTTTTCACTTTGCCTCACTGGTTTTATATATTTGTTGGTAAACCAAGGTGTGTCCACTTGCATAATATCTGCAAAGACTGTAACTCCCACACAGGCTTTCCCAGTGTGTACCATTAACATATTTTTCCAAACTTCGAAAATGTTAACAACAAGGACCTGTTTGGTTTGGGAAATGTTTTTCATTTTCTATCACCATTTTTACTTTAATATTGTGATAAATAAAAGAAGGTACATCAACTAAATTTGGTAAACTGGATAACAAGGTTTCCAAGTTATAGTTAAAACCAAGAGTTTCCACATTTTGTTATTTGGTTTATTTTGTTGATCATGTATGCATTAAAACTGGAGATGGGAATCCTTAAAACTAAAATAGAAAAGAAAAAGACGTGAAATGGGGTATGTTTTCCAAAACTCAACTAGTTATTTTCTTTCCTACTGAATGCCATCTTGGGTGGTGGAATTGGTTTCCTTTTTCTTTTCACCCTTTTATGCTACTATAATCGCAGTAATGTTATTGTGTTTTCAGCCTCAGGGATGTCCTGACATGTTATGGCTTGCAGGGTGTGCCCTCTTTGCCGTGGTGATATCTGCAGACATGATTTGTTGGCTGTGGAGAACTGAGCTTGCAGTTTTACTCAATACTTCCTGAGGAGCATTGGCATCCATGTAGATAGTAAGTTCTAAACCCTGGCGACAAAATTGAAAAAAAAAAGATGAAAAGAGAGATAGATCGGTAATCTCGACCGTAATGCTTAGGTAATTTGGGTTTTCTTTGTTTCTGGGTGTTTTGGGTTTTTTGCTGCCTGCATGATCTGTGGATGATCCCTTTTGGCTGGAAAAGGGAAAGATGATTCTGGGTTGGGAGAAATGTGGTGAGCTTGCATTTTGAACGCGGAGGGAAGAGATGTGCTGGTATTGGTTGGAGAGGGAGGGAGAAGAAATTGGTTGCTCAATTTGTTGATGTTGACTAAGAAATATTATTACTACTACAATGCTCAACGAAAGGAAGGTCGCTTAGCGTATTACTAAGAATTTGTTGTTTCCATTGAACATTAGACATCAGCAGCGTGTCGTTTTCATGATTAAACTTAGGCTTTTAATTTCATTATTTAGAAGTTGAGGAGTGCTAGTGGTAGGAGCAAGTGTCATTTTAAATAAATATAAATGTCTTATAGTAATATTCTTGAAGAAAATTATTAACTATACGATTTACGTTAAATATACATATATATTTTTTGTCTAAATATCTAAAGTATTTTTTAGTCAAAATAAGTATTTAAAGTTATATTTTGATCAAAATAGGTATTTAAGATTTTTTTGGGTAAAAATATATTTCGAAAATATACTATTTTTTTCATTTAAGTACCTACTCTAGGTAAATGTTTTGATCAAAATGATAAAATCAGGTATTTACTTTTATCTTAAAAATATTTGAAGTACTTAAATAAAAAGGATGGTGCACTCTAAATACTTACATATATATCAACCGTTTGCCTCTGTTCAAATATTTACAAAGCAGGGCTGCATTAATCATACATACATGGTAGAGTAGATATATATAATGTTAAATTATGGTGGACCTGAATGAATCATACAGTCTTCCTTGGAATTGAATTAGCTGAAGTGGATTTTTTATTCTGAACGCCCTTTCTAGTTTGTGCTCTGCAATTAGCAGCTCCAATCTTTGTATTGGAGACAGGCCATTGACCACAGGAGACTGCCATGTCCTTGCAGTGCAGCAGGGCCTCAAGTGTTTCAATAACGGTTGGCATCCTCGGCCTGTCTTTAGGGTTCAAACTAATGCATTGGAAAGCCAGATGAGCCACCTGTTTTGCTCCTTTCACGGAATACTGGCCGCCAAGTCTTTGATCCATGATATAGCGCAGCCTCCGACTGCTGTTCAAGTAGGGTTTAGCCCAATCAACCAGGTTTTGCTCATTCTTACACCTTGATTTCTCCACTGCTCTTCTTCCTGTAATCAGCTCTAGTAGTACTACTCCGAAGCTGTACACATCACTCTTCGTCGTCAACTGACCTGTTGATACATATTCCGGTGCAGCATACCCATAGGTCCCCATAACGCGAGTCGTGACCTGCGTGTCCGATCCCTCAGGCCCCAGCTTGGCAAGTCCAAAATCCGATAACTTGGGCGTAAAATCCTGATAAGCAAAATTAATTAAGCTTAACCCAAGGTATTATATATATATATATATAATACACAACAGTATATCAGACGCACTTACAGAATGAAGCAAGATATTTGAAGTTTTGAAGTCACGATATATGACGGGATTCTCAGCCCCATGCAAGAATGCAAGCCCTTTTGCGGCTCCAATGGCAATCTTCAATCTGGTGCCCCATGGCAGTGATGTTGAGATCCCTGTCCCTGCTTTAAACTTCATTTTCATAAATATTTCATATATATATATATATAATTTGGCAAAAAGGAAGTTACTTTTGAATAAATGGTTCTCCAAACTTCCTCTGGGCATGAACTCATATACAAGGAGACGTTGTTCCTCCTCACAGCAATACCCAATCAATCTCACCAAGTGAGGGTACCGCAGCTGCCCCAACAATATTACTTCTACCTACACACCAATATATATTTCTACTTACCCATCATCAATTGCTTATATCCATTCCAATACATTGTTTAGCTTTGAATTTCACCCCTCAACTTCATGAAAACTAAAAAAAATATTCCCTCTACTTCTTAGTTTTCTTAAAGTGATTTAAATTCAGAATTAGAGCAAATTTTTTATGTAAAAAAGATTAGAGTAAACTACCTATTTAGTCATCCACCTATTACTTGGTTTTTATTTTGATCACTTAACTGTTTTTTTCTCAAAATTATACCTAATATTACATTTTGGTTCTATTTTGGTCATACACCATCAAAAAATTAATGATGATGTTGACGTATCACCATAAGTTAATTTCATGTCAACATTGAAAAAAAAATATCACATTAGTATCAATGTTAAATTTTTAACAATAAGTGACCAAAACAAAATCAAAATGTAACGTTAGGTATAATTTTTAAAAATAATAATAATAGTTAAGTGATAAAAACAAAAATTAAATAATAGGTGGGTGACCAAATATGTAGTTTACCCAAGATTAAGATATATTGAATTTGCTTACAAGCCATTCACGGTGTCCTTGACGGCCTTGAACGTCCAAAAGCTTGATAGCAACATTTTGAGCCTTCAAACCCTGCCTCAACTTCTCATCCACGAACCCTTTATGCACAGTCCCGAACCCACCTTCCCCTAGCAAATAATCCGCTGAAAAGTTCTGGGTTATGGCCCGCAGCTCGCTTAGCTTGAAATCATACAAATCACCCCCAAAAGACTGGGCAAGGTCCTCGTTGATATGCGTCGACGACGAATGACTGAGGTCGGAAAATGACAATAGTCGAAACGATGGGATGGGGGAACTGTTATTGGAGAAGTCAGACTTGGACGTCCTCATATTCCCCATAATTGTTTGGCCATCAGCTGAGCAACATTTCGAGCCGAATGGTCTCCAAGGCTTGGAGGTTTCATTATTAGTCATGGTCACCTATTTTACAAGTTACATAAACTCAGATGAAAAGATGATCATACAAGCATACTGTTGTGTGTTATGTGTAAAATATATTTATAATCCAGATGGATCGAAGGTGCTACTGCATCCTTTAAAAATTTCAATTCTCGTATAATTTAAATATATAAAAATTTCAATTCTCGTATAATTTAAATATAATTTTATCGGTAATTTTATCTCACGTATCTTAAAGTTTTATAATTTAATCTCTTAAAATTTTTATAAAACTTTTCAAATTTATTTATCATAAAATCTTGTATTTGCATCTATTTATTGCCACATCCTATCATAAAAGGCTGGACAACACAATATTTGCTTCCAACTGCTCAAACAACTACTCTACTAAATGGAACAGCTTAGTTTTATTTATTTATTTCCTGGTTTTTAATATCTTTATGCATATATCATATGTCATCGATCACATTATACATACATACACAAATGTTCGTTCTTAATCATATATATATATATATAATTTAATAAAGGGTTTGCAGTCTTAATTGTTAACCTGATTACAGAGTAAAATCATTGCATAAATGGAGTAGGAGTAATGAGAATATGTTTTGGAGCAGTTGACATTGAGAATATTATCCGTAATGTTCCTAAACTAGCAACTGGCCAACCACCCACTCCAATGTTTCATTTCTCAACAACCAAACCAAAACACATTAAAATTTCACTAGTGTGTTAACATACGTGACATCTTATTTAATATTTAATTCTGAATTAATTGCATCATCTGTATTAAACCATAACCTTCATTTTAAATCGATCCTTAAGCTTTTGAATATTCTAATTTTATCCCTAAGTTATGACCCTCTTTTAAATTGGTCCCAAAATTTTAAATATTCCAATTCATCCAAATCTGTAATTAGTTTCAACTATAGTTTAACCTAAATTTTGTTTTTTTTAAACATATAATGACGTAACTTGGCTTAAAGATTTTATTAACAAGGGATGTGAGTAGTATATATGTATGATATTAGGATGACATTTATAGTGGATAATGGTTTTATTGTTGATTGGTATTAAAGGGCTCTGTCTTAACGAGGAGGAAGAACATAAAGGAATAAGAGTGAAGTAGTTTTATTGAGGTCGTATCTCCTCTCTTGGTCATGCTCGAGAGGTTCTATAATGGGTCTTGGTTCTGGTGTCAGGTGTAGGAAAATGCTGGTTATCCGTAGGCTGGCAGATTGTGTGGATACGATCAACTGACAGTGGACTTGATTCTGGTAGATCATGTGAGCTTATTAGAAATCGTAGCAACATGTCGTGACTTTTCAAGATTAAGATATTCGATATCCTTGCTTTGGAAGTATTCAAAGTTGCTTTGGACTTGATTCTAATATAATGTATTATGATATTAGAGTTTTTGACTACAACTAATTGTTCTTTTTTTGTGTGTGTTATTGCTTCAATATTTGTTCACCTTAACATTTCCTTTAGTTGAGTCCAACACGAATTTCTGTTGAAATTTCATCAATTGATACTTTGCTTAAAGCTTTAATGTCTTTTGACTACTCAAATAATGTCACCTTTAGTAGAAAAAGAGTTAGTTGCATCACATGTCCTCAAATTATGACTCTCATTTCAAATTGGTCCCTAAACTTTTAAATATTCCAATCTCATCCTTAAACTATGACTATCATTCTAAACTAGTCCTCAAAATTTTGAACATTTCAATTTCATGGCATTCATTCTAGATTGGTCCTCAAAGTTTTTGAACATTCCAATTTCATCTCAAACTATACATATATACTAATCTTAATAAAATTGTTAGGCCAATTTATATTATTATATTTGGGGGGAAAACAAAAATTAGGTTAAAGTATGGTTGAAACTAATTACATAATTAGATGCATTTGGGGATGAAATTGGAATATTCAAAATTTTGGAGACCAATTTAAAAAGAGGATCATGATTTAAGGACGAAATTACAATATTCAAAAGTTTAGGAACTAAATTGAAATGAGAATCATACTTTGATGATATACGATACAATTAACTCGTAGAAAAACATAATATTCAAGTTTTGTCTTTGGAACCCTTCAAGTGGTAAAAGCGAAGCCAAAATTCTAATTCAATGGGACAATGTATAACTAAAAATAGAAAATAGGAAGGATAAAATCAAAATAAACCAAAATTTAAAGGTTTAAAAAGGTATTTATCCCTATATATTTTTAATGATAAAAAATTAAAGGGCAGTGCCCCATACGTAGTTTCGTCCTTAAATAGAAGAGAATGTTATTATCTAGAGATCTTGAATTCGAGTAGTTGTGTCTGTAAAGTGTACGTGCATTGTTAATATGTTAAGAAAATTTTAAACAGATACTAGTTTGTAACATTTTCTAATTATTAAAAAAACATATATATTGCTTTGAATTTGGAGCTTGGTGTACAAGAGAGGTTGAACAATGTCCACAAGCATGTTAAACACAGCTTCTTTCCTTGCACGTCATATCCTCAAGTCTCGTCTTATTCCCATTTGTGTTTCAAAAGTTCCTTGCCCACATCGCCCCAAAACTGAATATGCTACCTTTATTCTTCTTGTAAACATCACTCTCTTTTCTCTTTTCTCTTTTCATACACCTTCACATCCAATCAATTATTCAGCATACTGTTGAAACCACAACTATGGGGAATTGTCTAACATCGTCTTGTCCCAAAGATGTCTTAAAAAAGAAGAGGGCTTTGCCGATCGAAAGCGCCTTCACGCTTCCGTCTCCTTTACCAGAATGGCCTCCAGGTACCTCTATTTCTTCTCTAATGGTGTTGCCCTATTAGACATTCATCATTTTTGTGTGTGTAATATCTCATTTTCATCCACCAGGGGAAGGGTTTGCAAGTGGAACTATTGATCTTGGTGGAATACATGTGTGCCAGTGTGACATGTCATCTTCCTCAAAAGTCTGGACCACACACGAAGGAGGACCGGAAAATCTTGGTGCGTCGTTTTTCGAACCGTCATCGGTACCGGATGGGTACTACATGCTAGGCTGCTATGCTCAACCCAACAACAGGTTGCTTTCCGGTTGGGTTCTAGCAGCCAAAGATGAGAGTTCGGATGATTCTTTACTCAAACAGCCCGTCGATTACACCCTCGTTTGGAGCAGTGAGTCCTTGAAAATCAAGCAAGATGGCAATGGCTACATTTGGTTACCCGTAGCCCCACAAGGATACAAGGCAGTCGGGCATGTCGTAACCAACACCAACGCCAAGCCTTCGCCGGACAAAATCCGCTGCGTTCGATCCGATTTCACCGACGAAGCTGAGAATTATACATGGATATGGGGACCTGGTAAAGACATGAATGCAAATGAAATCAACTTTTTCAGTTCAAGGCCAGTAAATAGAGGAACACAAGACATGGGAGTTTGTGTGGGCACATTTGTCGCCCAAAAGTCTTCTCTAGCATGCTTGAAAAACGTCAAACCTAACTTATCTTGCATGCCAAATCTCGAACAAATCGACACCTTGTTCAAAGCTTACTCTCCATGGATTTATTTCCACCCTAAAGAAGCTTATCTCCCCTCGTCCGTCACATGGTTTTTTATGAACGGTGCATTACTGTACACTACCGGCGAAGAATCGAAACCGGTTCCGATAGAACAAACGGGTTCCAACCTTCCCCAAGGCGGTTCAAACGACGGCAAGTATTGGTTGGATCTTCCGGTGGACGAAGCAAACAAGGAAAGAGTAAAGAAAGGAGATTTACAAAACTCCCAAGTTTATCTGCATGTAAAACCCATGTTGGGCGCAACGTATACGGACATAGCTATATGGGTGTTTTACCCTTTCAATGGACCAGCAAAGGCCAAAGTGGAACTCATCGACATTCCATTAGGAAAGATAGGCGAACACGTCGGTGATTGGGAGCATGTAACATTGAGAATCAGCAACTTCAACGGAGAATTACACCGCATGTATTTCTCCGAACACAGTGGAGGTTCATGGGTGGATGGGTCGGATCTGGAGTTCCAACACGGGAATAAGCCTTGTGCTTATTCATCGTTGCATGGCCACGCCATGTACTCGAAACCCGGACTGGTTTTGCAGGGAAGTGGTGGGATAGGGATTCGGAATGACACTGCAAAGAGTAAGATTGTTATGGATACAGGGCTGCAGTTTTCGGTTGTTGCGGCCGAGTACTTGGGTACCACCGCCGTTGTGGAGCCGCCGTGGCTGAACTATTTCAGGAAATGGGGTCCGAATATTAGTTATGACTTGGCGGATGAGATCAAGAAGGTGGAGAAAATATTGCCAGGAAAGCTTAAAACGGCGTTTGAGAAATTTGTGAATGGGCTGCCGAATGAAGTGCTTGGGGAAGAAGGGCCAACGGGTCCCAAGGTGAAAAGGAACTGGAACGGAGACGAGATTTAGAATGTTGTGGCATCCATGCTTCTTACTTACAAGGCTCGGGAAATATCAAAACTTCCTATCTTGTATATAATTAAATTACATTTGACAATAAATAAATGGCATTAATTTATTTAGTATATAATTAATTTAAGACAAATTACACATTTACTATCTAAACTATTATTTTTGTTCTTCTTTGGTATCTAAATTTTATTTTTTTCCAAAATTATACATAACGTTTAATTTAGGTTTTATTTTAGTACCTTCCGTAAAAAACTTAACAGTGATTTGGCGTGTTACCATAAAGTAATGTCATGTCAATATTGAAAGAATAAAATAAATGGCATGTCAACAATTCTGTTAATTTTTAATGGCATGAACCAAATTGAAACCTAAACTAAACGTTAAGTATGTCTTTAAAAAAATATAAAGTTTAGGTACCAAACAGAATAAAAATAATAATTTAGATACTAAACATATAGTTTACCCTTAATTATATTTTGTCTAAAATTCATTCAATCATATTAGTGAGAAAAGAAAATATTATTTTTTAAAGTAATTTATATTCGAATAGTTATCTTTGCAGATTGCATGATAATATGGTTTTATCAATCGAATCAAGTAATTGTTGAAAAGATAAGGGCTGGAGGTTCATATCGAGAATTGGGTGTATCAATTAAATTTCAATTATCGAATGCAAATACTTAAGAAATTGATTTTTTTTTTTTAAGACAAAATCATTTTTGAATTTTAAATATTAAAATGTAATAATCAGCGTAATTTAGCTTGAAAGATTAAACATGCTTTAGTTTGTTTTTAAATCTTTTTGCTAAGTGGATATGGAAATGATAAAGCATGTAATTTGACGTGATAAACTTTTGTAAAAGAAAACCGTTGAATCAGTATACTAGCTTAGGTCGCGGGTAGAACAATTAGTCACATACTCCGTCTAATTTGAATTTTATACGTTAAATCGGGGGTTTAAATAGTTACATGTTATCGTAATAATATTCGTTATACAATGATTACAGTATCTTATGATATTGTTATCGCATGTCGATACATGCATCCACAATAATAATATTTGTTATGTCCGTAATTACGATAAATACGATGCAACCGAAAACACGATTGCAATCGCAATTTAAATTCCTATGTTCAATGCGAAGTCGCAAAAATTGAATACAATGTGATTAATATTATTATAGATATGATATAAAAGAGGAAGAATGATATTATTTTTTAAATTAAAATAAGAAACAAAACAGATAATATAACCACTACATAAAAAATTATAAAGCATTAAAAGCTGTTTACACTCTATAATATCTTGTAAAATATTAATACATGCTTGGTTTTTGGTTTCGGGGGAATATATAATTGGGGTTTGAATTCCTGATTATTCCTTAATCCAATTATAACAGTTGTCATCAACTTATAAAAAAAAATCAATTTTTGAAGAGAAGCTGAAAATCCTTCATCCATTTGGAGTAAGAATCCTAATAAAACAAAAGAGAAGATCATCAATCATTCGAGTAATTCTCGTCTCTACTACACCTTTTGATTGATCAAAGGCAATTAACAAGAGAAGAAGACCAAAGACCAGATTGTTTACGATAAAATCAAACTCTTTTATATATTATTATTATGTTTATAATTTTGAGTAAAACAAAAAAAATTAAAAATGATCATTATAAAAAAATTCAATAGTGAGTATTATTATTCGAAATGGTGAGAATTGTACAACACCAAAAGAATTTGGGAATAATGATATTCTCATCATTCCAACTAAAAAATACCTACTATTGGAAAAAGAATATTTCCAGGTAATAATCTTTTCTGTGAACTAAGCGTGAGAATGTAATTAAGAAAAGATTGTTCCCTTTAGTAATAATCTTTTCCGCGAACCAAACGCACCATTCCGCGAATACGTGAACAAAGTTTTAATCCCCTAAACCAGCAACTAAAAAGGGTGGATGTGAAAATGCTCCATAAGTAAAACATGATGCAAATCCCACGCGGCACAGCCTAACATATTACAACCATCATCAATTACATTGAGTGTGAGAAATAAAGCTTATTCATTCATTTTCCTGCTTTCCTCTCACCTAATAGAACATTCTCTTTTGCTTATATCTTCAATCATACCACCTCTCATTTAACAAAATTACATACTACTGCTACTTAATATTATCTTATTACATGGTGTCGGGCCATAAATAAAATATTAAGATTGTTATACTATTTGTTACCCCCCAAATACCATAAACCATTTTCAATTAAATAAATTCGGGATAAGGATGCACGCACCGGCATGGATCTAGCCACAACCCCGTCGGGGGTGTACATCAGTTCATTACAATACCCATCCTACTTAAAAATTCGAAACCACGTTCAGATTATAGAGGAAACTCCTTCTGTAAAACCTCTAAATTCCTGGAATCACAAGCTTCTACCATGTCATTCCGCGAAGCAGAGCTGCAAGAATGGAAGCAAACAATAGAGATATGTGTAAGTGGAAGTAGTTCGCATGATTACAAGACCGCATATTCTCTGCTTCAGGATGATACCTCAAAGATATTCTTAGATATTGCCAGGCATTATCAGCCTTGGGATTCATCGCCAGTGCTCGAACATAGTATCGGATTGACTCCTCATACATACCCTGGAAGCAAATTTGTTTACAGGTTCAGTCAGATCAAACTGCATTGTCGCCCTCAACCAATAAAAGGAATATCTAGATGGATGAAAACCAAATGGTTTTTTTCCCTTCATGGGCAAAATTTAATAACATGAAGATTTTTTTTCTTTTAATGTAACCTTGGAAATTAGTCAAACCTGAGTTGCTAGTAAACTTCCATTTAGAAGGATTTACCATCTCATAAATATACAAAATGAAATGAAGACAAAAAATAAGAAATGCAGTTCCTATTTCACGGATGCCATGACCATGAGAGGAGAGTGCAGAGCATATAACAAACCTGGTTGGCGTAACTGATACCCATGTTTGCCCAAGCACGAACATAGTTTGGCTTCAAATCTAGTGCCTGAAGATCAAGAGATAGACCAAACGGCTAAATTCAATAATGCGTAAAAGATAAGGGCTGGACAGGGAAAGGGAAGTTTATCATCAAATCATTTTAAATGTACACAGAATTTCAGTAATAGAGGCTAAACAAATCAAACTGCATGTGCAAGATCTAAGAGCATTAAAAAAACACATTTTGAGAGAGATGATGATCAAGAATATATTTAAATTGAGGAAGCACATGAGCAAATAATTTAAATTAACTAATAGCTTCAGCATATCAAATAACTAATTACATTAGAGCTTAATAATTATCTTCTAAAGTCTAACTAGGTGCAACAGAATATTTGGAGAATCCTTTTAGCATCCTAAGGTTACAAGGATGAAGTAAGCAAATAATACCACCCTATAAGAGAGCTGTATAACACACCAATGCATCACGTTACCATTGAAAGTTAAGAAAGAAGAGAACAGGAGGAAAAGATAATGCCACCCATACAAGTTTGGCATACTGAGGATCGACATGTTCTACAATCTTTATGCTTTAAGTGTCCATGTCCGACACATGAATATGGGATATGACCTCCAAGGATCCTCCAAATAGAACGAAAACCTAGAAAAAAACTAACCATACCCGCGTCGAATACATAAACGAGCCCAAGTAACAAAGGATATGACACCCACTGTTAATGCAAGTGCTTAGGTACCGCACCTTAGTGCCAATAACAAAAGTGTCACAATCCTTTTCAATTGATTAAGCATCGAGGCACACTATTTTGTAAGCATATAGAAGCAAAAAGCCCCCAGACACATAAAAAGCACAGATTTTAACACATCCACCTTACTTTATAAAGCGCATTTTAAAGTCTTGCACCTCAAATGGTTCTGGCACCTAGACTTTAGTTTGCCCCCTCGACAACATTGTTGGCACCTTCATAAGTCATTGTTCACTTTGGCCTTAAAATGCATAAGGGTGGGCAACAAACCATATAAATTGCTCTCTAGTAAAATCCCAATACTAGCATATTACGAATTTTATACATATTACAAGTATTCTAACTAGTAAAGAACACCCCAAAATACTTTTGAAATTAACATATCATGTGGCATTCTGACCGGCCACCACTTTTCAAAGGGTAATAATGAAAGGACTACCTGCTGATAAGCTAATATTGCATCAGCACTCTGCACACTGTTGGCTTGTGTTGCACCGAGCTTGTTCCACAGAGAATAATCATTAGGCTTAAGTTTCAAAGCAGTTTTGAAAGCCGCAATGGCCTTGTCATATTCTCTCGACAAATTATACAGAACGCCAAGGACAATGTGCACATCAGCATCTTCAGGAGACATCTGAGCAGCTTCATTGAATAATCTAGCAACCTGTATGGCAGAAAATGCTCTGATGGAGACCAGAATATAACGATTTTTTTCCCCCAAAATTTAGTGTTATTATGTTAAGGATAAGCTTCTTGTGGTCTCAAGGAAACTGATCTCCTGTCACCATATGTAAAACTCAAAGTCCAAAATACTATCACTGCAGTCGTGGAAATCAAATGTAAAACGGCATTCTTGTAATCCACAGCATTCACAAAAGAAGCAAGGTGTCCCAAAGTAACATTAGTGGAAGTAGCTTAAACTAAACATAGGTTGCTATATATCAAGGCATTGTTCTGAAAGGCAAAAGTCAAATAAAAACAGAATGAAAGAACTAAACAAGTGCACTTACATCAGCATAATACAATGAATTGGCGAGCTCTGGAGAAGCAAGAGTACCATACTTTGGGTGATGACGTAACCATCCATACAGATACTTTAAAGCCGCACTCTGTTCCAATTCTGAAATTTTCAAACTGTGTTATTTGTTTGACACTCAATTTTTATATTCATCTTATATAAAGGAGATAAACATTCACTAACCATTTGTATGACTCACACCAAGAGCAAGAAGCACTTCCAGATTGGTAGGATCGGCCTCCTGAGCACGCATCATTGCAGCAATAGCCTGTACAGAGATATCTAATAAATTCATTACATTTTTTCTACACAGTCAAATTTTTTGGACTCCAACAAAGGCTGCTTAAAATTTCAGATGTGGTAATAAAGTCTAAC